GCTATCGGAAAATCATTAGGATTGTCTAAACTAATTTATTTACTTTCTATCCTTCCAAAACCACCTGAAGCCTTTTTAAAAGAGGTCGAGTCTTTACTGTTTAAATTGATTTGGAATGGAAAACCAGACAAAATAAACCGTAAAACAATAATTGGAGACTCTATAGACGGAGGTCTGAGAATGTTACATTTACCCTCAATTATTTCAGCCTTAAAGATTGCCTGGGTTAAACGTCTGCTTGACGATAGTAATGTTGGGCAATCGAAATGTTTTTATAAAGTTTGTTTGGCTCCATTTGGAGGAAATCTTTTCTGGTATATAGTAATATTAATAAAAACGATTCTTCTATTGTCGATAAAAAACAATTTTTTATTCGGGAAGTTGCCCAGTCATGGGCCTCTTTAACACTCGATACGGAAATCAATCCTTCCCATATCAGACGACAAAATATATGGAACAACACTTTGATTCGTGCAAACAAAAATGTAATATTCATAGTCATGGTATGACAAAGGTATAATTAAATTATCGGATCTTCTTGACGAAAATGGTAATATTTTTTACCTTCTTTTAATTTAGAAACAAATATAAGTTTGAATACAATTTTGTAGAATTTTATTCTGTAAAAACGGCTATTCCCCATAAATTGGAAACATAATATCCCTAAATGTTCAGAGGCAGACCTAACAGCTCAAGAGGAAATGATTAAAAATATAATGAAGGTAACGAAGATATGTCGCTATATAAGTGTTCACCGGGTTTTTAGTCCCCCTAAATCAATAGATAAATGGAATTATATGTTTAATATCCCAAACATAGACTGGGGTAAAATTTTCTTAGTTCCTGTTAGGTCATGTTTATCTACACGGATCCGTTATTTTCAGTTTAAGATAATACATCGTATAATTGGTGTTAATAAATATCTTAAATTATTAAATATTTCGCAGTCAGACATATGTTCATTTTGTTATAGCTCCGTGGAATCTATAGAAGATTTATTTTGGGATTGCCCAATCATTAGAAGGTTTATTGCGGATGTCCAACATTTCATTTTAGAGGATAAAGTTACTTTGAATAAAAATTAATTTCATATTTGGGTTTTATAAAACGTTGGAGTTCAATTTAATTTTATTATTTTATATGCCAAATACTATATATTTTCGAACAAATGCACTCTCACTAAGTTCTTTTAAATTATCGTTCTCTTGAACGATACATTTATGTTAAAAATAACAAATTTGCATCATTTGATAGTAGGTGGAAAAACATTGTGTTGCTTTAAAAAAATATTTATCTTGTATAATCAGCTATATTCTTGCTTTTGATTCTATTGGTTATAGATATGGATATTCATATATGTTTTGTTATGTTTTGTAAAGTCGAAAGCAAAATTGAATAAGGATGATTTTATTAAAGAGAAAAAAGAAGAAAAAAGTTTGTAAAAATAAAAGAAAAATACAGGATCTATTAAACCTTACCATAGTACACTTTCACTTAGAAGTATCTGCATGTATAGGAATCTGAAATAAATACAAACATCTATGTCAATTACCTTCCAGTTATAACGGATGTTATATACTAATGAATACTGAAGAATGCTCGGCTGAAAGCTATTCGTGATGACATCTAACGGACGAATATTTATTAGATCTTAAACCAAATCCTTTTCGGCGACCGCTTGTATTTGCTTTTGGGTTGCAGGAGTACTACAAAGTCATATTGGGCGAGGGACGTGTCCCCCAATCGGGCCCACGATCGCTGCCCCTGTCCTGATTACTACCAACATGAGTTCAAATACAAGCACAAGTGAATTGGCACGAGCTGATGCTGATGATAAGAGTTGTGAAGCGGCCCCTCTACCGTTAATTATATTTGTTACTGTTGAGTATATAGCTTCTAAAGACATCTAAAATAATGTGCCCTTTTCTAATTTCTAACCAAAGTGTGATGACCTTTGTAGCGCAGGGTTAAATTCGAATCCGCGCGGCTCGGGATTGTATGTGGCCTGCCCCCTCTATTCAATAAACTTGCCCCCCCCCCCCTCCACTCCAATAACGTATCCCAAGCTTTCTGGAATGAACCCCGATCTCCCGATTACAATTCTACTCCTCTTTGTAGCTTTGTAGGGGCCGGGCGCGGCTTCATCATGAGTGCTTTTACATGAACCATTTTAAATAAACATAATTATTATGCTGGATTTCGACCCGGATTGCACAAACTAAAATGATAAGATGATCATCCCCAATAAAAGCTTGCAGATAACAGTAATGTGCACCCTTCTTCCTTAGTCCCTTATCCACCGTCACTGCCATTTACATAATTATGACCGGCCGCGGCCCCTCTTCAATAACGGCTCCCAAGCCTTCGAGAATGACCCCAAGTTTTCCTGATCACCATTCTGCCGCCGTTTGGAAGGGTCGGGCGCAGCCTTTTCAGATGTGTTTTTACACAACTCTTTTTATATAGGCACCACGGCTCATAAACAAGCATGCTTAGAACTATTGAAAATAAGCTGAATTCCGACTCAGTTTTGCACAACCTAAAAATTAAAATACGGTCAGTCACCTCCCCCCCCCCCCCCCTCCATGCGCGTGCATTTCACACGTGCATACCCCCCTCCCAGTTTTCCCTTACTCGTCGTTTCTGTCACTTTGTGCCATTTCCTTGTCTTTCTTCCTTTCTCACCTGGCTTCTCTCTTCTTTTTCCTTTCTCTTTTTTTCTTCTTTCTTTCTTTCTCTCTCTCTCTCTCTTTCTTTTCTTCTCCTTTCTTTTCTCTCCTCCTTTCTTTTTTCCCTTTTCTTCCTCTTTTTTCCTCTTTTTCTTTTTTTTGCGCCGCCAAAAGAGGGACCGCGGCCGTTTCGGCCCCCCTGGATCCGCCACTGGGACTACACAAATGGTGTCGGGGCTACTAACCTTGATTTCCTTATCTTTCTATGCTCATTACTCAGCCAGTATACATTTTCTACCTAAAGCTACGGTCACATATTTTTTCGTACGAATTTCCCTGTTTTTCCATTGTCTTGAGTGGGGGGGGGGGGGGGGGGGGGGTTGGGGCCGGGCTACTAGTGTTGACGAAATTGACCGTATATTTATGAGCACCATGTGCGCATGCGCAGCTATAGATGGTTTGTAGGAATAATATCCCCCTCCCCCCCCCCCCCCCCCTTTCGCCGGCCTTGGGTTTATAGGGTTAGATTTATAGACATTGGCACATTGGCATTAACGTATTTATCGGTAATTGGTGGCTAGTTTTGTCGGTAATCGATGGCTTTTACACCCTCTCCCCACTGAACAAGGTCTAGCGACGCCCCTGGGGGCATCATCGTGTAGAGAACAGGCGTCGACTAAAAACGAAAAGGGTTATAATCTAATGAACAGGGCGGGTTGACTGCAGCCAATTCGCATCGTTAAAGGACGGGAACGGCGTCCTCGTCCACACAAACGAAAAGCCCCTAATAATAATATAGTGTCTGGCCGACGCGAAATTCAATTCAGGGATAATAGAAGACACGTTTCTTTACCTTCTTGTTCAGTGCATTTGCCCTATTTCTGACTTCTTTAAACTTTTCCCAGTATTATGTAGTTCTGTGATGAATTTTGCGTTTAAAATAACTCCTATCTCTTGCGATACATAAATATTCGTTGGTAATCCAAGGCGATCCCCTAGAACGTTTTCTTCCTGTGACATACGGTACATGAAGATCACAAATGTCTTTGAATTTACATTTGAAAATATTCCACACATTTGTAATTGTTTATGTGTATTTCATTTGTATATAGTGTTCATAGTGGTGCTTTTTTTTCTATTGTTTTATTTGCTTAGCTAAATCACATAATTGTTTACGACAAGTTTTTGTTGATAGTCAGGGGGGGGGGGGGTGTCTACATTTTACAACCTATATTCTTCTTCGTAGTCCCCTGTACATTATTTTTTCTATTACATTGTTGATCTAGTATCAATCTTCGGTTTAACTTGATAACATTTGGAGTGGACTTTAAAGGATTATTATTATCTGTTCATTATTCGCTGTTTTATTTCTTCTTCTCAAATCAATGTAAATATTTGTCATAAGCTTTGATAATATGTGGAATATGAATGAATGAGTAAATCATATTTCATATCTAAAATATTTCTTCATTCAAAAATTATATGTATCCTGTAGGTGCAGTAACCTTGATTTACTTTCAAACTGTCATGCCGAAATAATTGTGTTTTTAGAAAGAGGTTGAAATTATGTGTTTTGAGCGTTACGGAATGACAACTTTTTTGAGTATAAGTTTCCCAGGTTACTGCATCATAACAATTATACCAAACAGAAACTAATGGTATTTTTGGTTCCTGTATTCTTTGAACTCTGTGTATCACTTTTATTTAGCAAACAGGTCATATTAGTATGACACTTCCTCTTCTTTGAAAGTCTGACATAATTGGTATCAAATTTTGATACTGAGATTATGTTAATGGATTATGCAAATTTTTCAACATTTAGCAGTGTGATAATGTTTCAATTTTTTTTGTTTGATTAGGAAATAAATTCTTTTGATATTTAATTTTACTCTAAATTTGATATGATCTGACAAGTTTGAAATGTTATAGAGTCCTCGTCCTGTTTTGCTTAGAGTTGCCCATAACGCTATGTTTTCATGGTTTTAGTCATATGTCACGAGTAGTATCAATGGACATGCAGGCTGTGCTTATACGATCTTGTTTAACAAACTCTGTCACAAATTTCCTCACATTCACACAATTGCATCTATTCTATACACACTTACATACATTGTTCAGTTCATTCTGCGCATGTACAATCGTGGTTCTTCAACGTTAATCATTGAAGCCCATTGCAAATAATATGAAAATACGTGTACATCAACAGATTAACACAAGAGCAGCAAAATCAGAGCATCTCTTCTTATCTCCATGATCAGAGCAACTCACCCCGTTATTCATCCACACATAACGAATTCTAGATACATTAACAGATACAATATAGAAGGGTAATTTGAACGGCTTTCAGTACTTTTATTGATATTAATAATAAACCATAACAAGTTACATTCCAACTAAATCTATAAGAAAAAAAATGAATTCACAAAAATTGCCTTCGCCGATCAAAAAAATTATTTCTTTTGGCTGTTTCTAATGTCTTTCAACACATAGTTCTGGTGAATTCCATATCAATGTACCAATCCCTTAAAGTCTTATCCAGTTGACTTTCAATTAACGAGAGGATCCATGATGTTAAAGAATCGGACATACAACATAACAATCTTGGTATTGCGGGACGTTAGACGCTCTCAAGGCATACCCCCTCTAGGGATGACCCGTCATACAGTGTGCATGATCTTACAATTATGTTTGACAGAAGAGGTTGACGTCACAATAAATCTATAAGTAATACTCTAAAATAAATATAGAATCTACAGGGCTCCGACTACAGATTGCACAAAGAAAAAACTGCCAATGTCAGCCCTCCAATCAGCGAGCCCTTATCCGTTGATATAAGACATGAGACAGATACTTAAAAAGAGAGAGGGAGAGAGAGAGCAAATTTACATAAAAGAATGACTAAACCCTCTTGAGACATTGTGGGTCGTGTGACGCATGGTGTAAGAAAAACAAAAGACGCGCTTTATTATAAAGAAGTTGCATGGTGTTACCAAGATGGTATACATGGACTTAAGGTCTAGGTGCAGGTGAAATTTTAACCTAGCCTGCGCGCCAATAGTGTCTTTGCATGAGTCCATCTTGGTTTTGATTTGGAGCGGGGAGCGAGACGTTTAGAAGCACTTGCGGTGGACGATGGATGGGCCGGACTCGTCGTACTCCTGCTTGCTGATCCACATCTGCTGGAAGGTGGAGAGGGAAGCCAAGATGGAGCCACCGATCCATACGGAGTATTTCCTTTCTGGTGGGGCGATAATTTTGATCTTCATGCTGCTTGGGGCAAGGGCTGTGATCTCCTTCTGCATCCTGTCAGCGATACCTGGGTACATGCTGGTGCCTCCGGAGAGAACGGTGTTGGCGTACAGATCCTTACGGATATCAATGTCGCACTTCATGATGCTGTTGTATGTGGTCTCGTGGATACCAGCGGATTCCATACCTGGGGGCAGAGGCCAGTAAAATGGAGTTGTCAAATTAAAGTGGCACAATGAAACGAAACCTAACACGTCTTAAAAATTTAGCAGAAAGATACTCGTAAAGCCATAAACCCCATAACTTATTTATCTATTCATTTTCATTTTTTTACCCAGGATGGCCTAGTCAGTGATTTTAACACATGTATCCTTTAAGGGCCTCGCACAGATCAACACATGAAGTATAATATAATACACGAATAAGAAGATGATACAAGACAAAATCTTAACTTCATCTTAAGAGCAATACAGACAAGTCCACTGATGAATCTTCAAGGAGTCATAAATATTCTAAAATCGTTTGCATTATCACCATAAGATTTATTTCATGTCGATGATCGTCGTAAATCTTGAATCATGAATATGCAAGGTCTCTTGTAGGAGAGAAATTGAAGATGGAAATCCCAAATGTACAGGTTATAATGCCCTTGATTTCATGTATCAGGTATGAATGTACACTGATGGACGTTAAAGTGGACTTTAAATTATTAACCTTTGGATTGGTATTTGTAATACTGAGATGATTCTTACCGATGAAGGCTGGCTGGAAGAGGGTCTCTGGACACCTGAATCGCTCGTTGCCAATAGTGATGACCTGACCGTCGGGCAACTCGTATGACTTCTCGAGGGAGGAGGAGGCAGCGGCGGTGGCCATCTCCTGCTCGAAGTCCAGGGCGGTGTAGCAGAGCTTCTCCTTGATGTCACGGACGATTTCACGCTCGGCTGTCGGGAGTAAAGAAAAATATTCAGAAGATGGTAAATGATGAGTACGAAATTCTAAGGGCAATAATAATGAAGTGATGTAATGTCGGGTAGAATGGAGTCATTATGAAATTTAACCGAATTTTGTCAATCACACCGAAAGGCTGCAAATTTTTCCTTCAGATCATATTCCTTCATTCCAGTGTCTTTTTAAAATTGTCCTAAAGCGAATACAATTACTGTTTCACGCGTTGGTTTATCATGGAGGCCAAACTAATTTTATCAATACATTGAAATTGTAAGAAAAAATGTAGGCCTACCAAGCATCATAAAAATAACATCCCAAATGTTCTTAGCTATCTATTTTGGGTGTCTTGCAAACCAGCAAAGTACATGTATCATATTTAGTAATTAATGAAGCGAAAAATTGAAATACAGGGGCTGTACTGTATAGTCATGTAGGGTGAAATCGGCTGTAAATGCGTACCCGTGGTGGTGAAAGAGTAACCACGCTCGGTGAGGATCTTCATCAAGTAATCGGTGAGATCACGTCCAGCCAAGTCCAGACGGAGGATGGCGTGGGGGAGGGCATAACCTTCGTAGATTGGGACTGTGTGGGTTACACCATCTCCGGAGTCGAGAACGATACCGGTGGTACGTCCGGAGGCGTACAGGGAGAGAACGGCCTGGATGGCGACGTACATGGCGGGGGCATTGAAGGTCTCGAACATGATCTGGGGAAATAATAAATTGATAACAAAACGAACATATTATAGGAAAAAGCTGGCGAAGAATAATTGTTTGCTTCAACTGTATCGCACATCAATATACTGCAGTTTACATGTATCTTTGTTGCAAGGTGTTTTGAAAAGTAAATTATTTTAAATATAGTTGGAGTAAATTTTGTCGTTTCATCAATCTTAAACACCGACCAATACTTATTCATTTTCATTTTGTGAGAAATATCAGATGTTGCACGAAGTTCAAATAACGAAAATGATTAAAACAACCCACCTGGGTCATCTTTTCCCTGTTGGCCTTGGGGTTGAGGGGAGCCTCGGTAAGGAGGACGGGGTGCTCCTCTGGGGCAACACGAAGCTCGTTGTAGAAGGTGTGATGCCAGATCTTCTCCATATCGTCCCAGTTGGTGACGATACCGTGCTCGATGGGGTACTTCAGGGTCAGAATACCTCTCTTGCTCTGGGCTTCATCTCCTACATAGCTGTCCTTCTGACCCATACCTACCATGACACCCTGTGCAAGAAGGAAAAGGATTATTTTCACATGATGGAGGAATATATTTAGTAACAAAAATGTATCACAAGTAGATGATTTAACCGGAGCAGAAAATGTGACATAATTATTTAGTTAAAGATATCGCAAAAATGTAATTATGTAATCAACAGTTAATGTTGTATTTACAATTTAAGAATTTTGACTTAGTGAACGTTATGAGTAGGTGAGTTTCCGTCTTTAAAAAAAAAGAACCCACTTCCTTTAAATTAGATAATTAGACTCGCCACCAATAATAATACATTTATTAAACGTTTTTGTGGGCGTAATTGCATGTCTATATGTGCTTTACAAAACAGAATACATAAGGAGTGAAAATGGTGCACTGGGTTCATAATTCAAGGTAGTAGAGTAAAATCTTAGAGAAAAGAAAACTTTTTTGCATGAAGATAATAGGGCTCCATGATACAATTACAGATTGATATTGAAATAAAGCACACGGACACACTTGTGTTAAGTCTACACTAATTAATTCGACATCATGATCTAGACACAACCAAGTAAACATGATTATTTCACCATTGTGTGCGGGCATGGCAGGGGTATATCTGCGCTTATTTTACATCAATTGTCACCACATTTCTGAAGTGGAGGATAAAACTGTTGCAATATTTGTACAAGTCACAAGTTCTACGACGGCGAAAATTGGCATGGTGCGAGTGAACATACCTGGTGACGCGGCCTTCCGACGATGGATGGGAAAACAGCCCTTGGGGCATCGTCTCCGGCGAAACCGGCCTTGCACATACCGGATCCATTGTCTACAACCAAAGCTGCTACATCCTCGTCGCACATGGTGACTGTTTATGTGTTGTTACGGGACTTCAAAATAGACCTGCGGATTGGAAGAACCAAGTTTTTAAAAATTGACAAAATACGCAACAAGTACATGACTTATAGATGGCAAAATGACAAACAATGCGGAAAAGGCATTCTTGCTTGCAGCTTAACATCAATTAGCGACCGCTCCTATGAATTGGCAGAACAAAAGGGATATATAGGTATAATGATAATAATAATAACAATACTAGCTACATTTATATTGCGCACGTATCCATCCCAGAATATGCCCAAGGCGCCTTACAAAGTAGTATTATTACCCTGGCTTTAGCCCGCTACCCTAAGATGTAAAGGCATTCAAGGAATACAATTCCTACCAGGTAATTTAATACACCTGGGTGGAGAGTAACACATTTAATTTGTTGTCGTGCCAAAGGACATTAGTGTCGCGGAGGGACTCGAACCGCGAACCACAGCCCGGAGACTATACGAAACCCATATCCATATATGCGAATGAAATGCGAATTGCAAGATATAATACTTATATCTGTATATACACGGGATTCTCTTTTTTAAAGAATCTTTTTCAACTCGGACAGAAAATCGTAATCTAAATGAATGTCGCATTGCTCTTCTTTTTGGAGGAATCTACCAAAGATGTCAGCAGTTCAATCTCAGGCAAAATCAGAAAGCTAAATTGAACCCAATTTATAATAATTATCTATGCTGTGAATCATTCAGGATCTAATCTTGCAAAAGGAATTTCGCTTTGCCGGCAATCAAATTAAGACTCAACACCGTCATCTAAATTAGATTTCTTGAATGCAATTGTCAGCTTTTATTCCAAGTTATTACTCGTGAGCGAAGGGCAATTGAGTTAACGGCCGCAGAAGGTTAATGACTGAGCTTTACGCTTTGCTGGTTGGCCAGGCAGCCATGGGTTGTAATACCAAATAAGGAAACGCTGCCAGACATTCCATTGGTACGGAGAAAAAGGGGCGAGGCAATGAACCAATGTTGGGCCAATCATATTCGCGTCTTCCGACCAGGTCAGTATTCTTAACTCGAAGACCTTGTTAGGTCATAAACTAAGATCTACCGCAGAGTCTATGGTCATAACATGTGGAGAGTAGGAATATTCTTTACGGCTGCCTTCACACTGAAACGCATTTAAAGGCATTAGCCTTTTCCAGACTTGTAACAAAGTTAATAATAACATTCTAGACTCCAAGAGCGCACAGGACATGATGCATAGAACCTCATGATGAATTACATATCACTTCTGTCAAGTACATTGCAAAGTTGACATTATTGATCCAACTTTTGTTAATTTGAGGTTATATATATATATATATATATATATATATTATCACATTAGCGCCGCTTAACATGTTAAAAAGGCTTAAGCAAGGAAAGTGAAAAAGTTCTAACAAAACTGCTGTATATCAAAATTCCATCTATATAATATCCCATTTTGTAAGAATTTTAAAAACACAATACAGATAATTATGTCCTTAAGTTGAAGTCAAGTTTAATCCAGACTATGTGCTACTATCTGGATGAGTCCCGGATGACTGATGCTATGAATAAGTCCAATGTACGCTATCTCCCAAAGGTGGTTTGGCCTATGTGCTAGTTTTATCTGAAACCATGCCATGTTGGGTTGCCAAAAAGTGATAACATTAAAACCGGTGAATGATTCTGTCAGTCAGCTCCGTGCACTAACGAGACTTTGGTTAAAACATGTAGTAGGTCCATGTTTAAAAGACCGACTGAGGCAAATATACACAAAGTTAACTTCCATTGACTGTTAATCAAATTATCAAAATTGCATTCAACATTGTAAGGTTCTGTTCTCAACAATGAAGCCTGTTCTAATCACGATCATGTCAACAACCGATTGGTTAATGAAATAATAACTAATTAAAAGAATCATTTCGTATGTGCTACTTTGATCAAAGATACAAGAACAGCTACTGTGTGCATATCAGCGTAGACTTCGATAATCTTTACTGTGAAAGCTAGAGCTAAAACCAATCATGCCCTTCCTAAGTCCATAAGGATAATTAAGAAATGTCCAGGTTGTCAGAGCCGCACATCCCCATCCTTGCCTTAGCTACCATCCGTCGGGTATCATCCCAGACGGTGTATCCTCAACAACTGCATCCCAAACTAAGCAAGCTTGAAGGCTGTTCAAGTATATAATAAAAAAGAAGAAGATGCAGAGAAGCATACACATGTGATCTTGCAAACTCAACTCACCGATTTCGCTATTCCTTTTGATGCCGCTGCTCACGAATGGTGTGGAGTTGGGAGGTGGAGGTTCAGACTTATATACCGAACGGACTGGGACTTTTCTGCGAAACCCCAATCGACCCTGCCCATTTTAGGCTACAATCTGCATCCTGACATAAACGGGACTTCGTGTACCTTATCGCACGGGCGCGGGAAACAACCACGCCCTGAGAGTGGCCCGCGGTAATTTCGTCATGAATATTGTATGAATATTGATGATTATGAATATTCATGTTTAGAGTTTCTCGGAAGAGGTAGATGGAGCGGCCAATGAGAGTGGGACGACCTATGTTTGGTTCAACCAAGACGGCCGACCGAATATGGCATCGGGGAACCGATAGTCGAGAAGGTGAATGTAAGGGAAGGCGGAATGTAGTTGGAGGTATGTATGGGCAAGTCCCCAGTTCCCTACAGCGGCGCCTGGGACAGACACAGGAAAGCAATGTATCCCGCTACCAAAATATCTACCCATGTCCTACACGCACAAAGCTGTCGTTCATTTTTTTTAATACTCCAGTGGCAATATACACTATTATACATTCGCTCTAAGTTATAATGTAAAGGGACAGGGAGCAGTTGTAGCTTAACCTTTCGATACAATTACAAACATATTGGCACTCATCCATAGAGTACTTTCTTTGCAATATGTATCAGCACATTTGATTATGTTTCCTGTTTGTGTTGAGAAGATAAATTTTTAACTTTCAGTGTTTCCAATATCATAATTTTCTTTGGTGTAAAAGGTACAGGTCTATTCGTTATTGAAAATTAATTAGCTGTTGAGATTTTATACAACAAATATACTTTCAACTACCTCTCTCTTTCTTTTTCAGCAATTTGTTTAAATATCCTAATAAACAAAACATAAGCCGTACTTATAACTTACAAAAATGAAACTAATGCTTATTATTGGCATTTTATCTGATGAAGTTAATGACTTGTAATTCATGAAAAAATAGTAAATTCCTATGTGTTTAAATGCACATGAACCGGCGGATTATTATCAAATTAAAGTGAGAAGGCCCAACTCAAACATTCTGCTCACAGTGAGTTAGATTTTGTTGCTACCAGTTTTCCCTCCTGATTTCAAAGAATCATGAAAATCTATTTCATAATTAGTTTTTCAAAGTGAACCAAACTGTATCATATACGTGTAAGAACGACCCATTTTGGAGTCAAAATTGTAGTATAAAGTCATTTCTTAGAAAAGAAAGATGTTCTGATGGATTTTGGTCTTCTTCTCTTTTTTGGTAGTCACCGTGATTAGGGGTATAACATATATGGATTATGCCGTATGACTCATTGATTATAGAAAAAGTCACAATTTGAAGTATTAAATAAATTCAAGCAAAATGTTGGCCTGGAATTTTCCCTCTCAATTGTCTTCTTCTTTTTTGCGTTCATAAAATATAAAATGAGAAATTGAGGCGAATTATGAATGAAATTATTTTTCTTTCTAAAATGATAAAAAGAAATGAATAGATCAATAACGAATAAATCATCACTTATGAAGAGAATCCTAAGTGTGGTAGGCCTAAAAAGTCAAAGGGTTTAAAGGTTTACATGTAAGCCAAACCTAGAAACTGTTCCCAGAAACAAATTAAATCTTGCCATTAGACCCACATACTCATTACCTGGGATGAAAGTAACTTTCGAACGTTATGACCTTGTAGCATATACTGGTTTTTCATATTTCATTTCATGCCGCTTTATAATATTATTAATGATATGTATTTATAAAGCGCAGAAATTATGCAAATATATTCTACTGCGCTACAAGAGCTCCTGATTTGCTTAAATCTGCAACATCAAGTCAAATGAAAAGATGTGCTTTTAGTGTTGATTTAAAGGCTTTTCACGATGGTGATTTCCCAATTAATAACGATTCTATAACTATTCCACCGTTTTGGGCCTGCGCATGCACATGCCCGATCTACAAATGTTATTTTTAGTTTTATGTGATGGCGTTTGCAAATCTTGGGAGCTGCGCCGGTTGTGAGTATTTTCGAGAGACTTGAGTTTTCACAGTAATTGTTGTATGATATAACTTGGCCGATTGCCACTTTATAGACAATCTTGAATGATATTGTTTGGCGTAGTGGTAGACAAGTGCAGATCCCTCAAAAGAGGGGTGATCCGTGTGAATTTGAAACAACCAGGAATCAGTCTTGCACAAGTGCCTTAAACCCGCTGCAGTCACCATATTTGGGAGTCAGTGAGTCCATACAATAACCCAACTTACTAATGATGCTTGCAAGAATAATTATTGTTATGATATTGTCCTTCTCAAAATAATTTGTAGTACCTCGGAGGTTATATATCATGTGGAATGTTGATTTACATACGTTTGTAATGTTATGTTCATGAAATATGTAGTCCTACACAGTGTTAATATAGATTAATACTAGTCTTCTAAGACGTATTTAAAGGATGGATGGGACTAGAGGGTGATGATTTCTCTTCTGCTTACCTTGTATACTGATACCCTAGCTATATGGCTACAAACCATTGACTAATAAAGAAGGATATAATCTTTATGTGTCATAAAGGTTGTTGATGTGCAAATGCATCTTATAGCAAAAGGGAGATCCCCTGTTTCTAAAAGGAGTTCATTGTTTGGGTAATACTTATACATCTCGATTTCAAGCCATTTTTCAATTGCAGAAGAGAATACTTCGATTATGTTCCATCAAAACCGTTATTTGTTTCGCTCAGTCTATTGAATAGGCCTATATATCAACTTGATAAGTACTGTATGATGATCTTATTATTAAAATATTATAAATGTATTCTAAATGTAGCATTATATAATATATTTCATTAAATAGTATTTTCCACTCAAATAATAATCGAGCTCTCATAAGTTTCACATTTATAAAGTGAATAAAGATGATATGTTGATCAATGTCAATTAGGCACTCAGGGTGGTCATTCTGGAACTTCATTCCTTTAAATGTATTCAAGAAACATTAAAACAATATCTCATAAGCTTAGATTTATAATAGTTGTTGGGTAAAAAGGACATATATTTCTGCCAAAATCCCTTTCCCCTTTTCCCTTTCTTTGTTTTAATATTTTTGTTTAATTGCTGTTGTCATTTTTCACACGTTTTTGTCCTTTTTATTAATACATGACCATTCCCTATTTAAATGCACTAATATCTCTGAAATAGGGATATTATCTCGACAAAAAAAGCCAATATTCCTATTCTTTCAAGCAATTGATGTATTATAATAGCATTTACTGTAAACTTCTCACTTTATAATTTATATGTATGCGTTTTTCAAGTATCTAATGATTTTCATTTATGTATTGTATTTAATTTACTGTTATCTTGCTATCTTTTTTTAATCTTTCATTATACCGTGATTTGCCCTTTTATGCTTTTGATTTTTATTGGAATTGAAAACAATTGAATCAATGATTTGAAATACGGGTACAAGTAAGATACTCCTTTCTCGTAGCTTTACCTCGAACTTAAGCTATGTTAGTTACTCATAATGGAAAATGGAAAACGAACACAGACATAATATTATACACAACACTAGCCTTGTATGGCCTATATAAAGAGATAGAGATGATAATATGTAATGCGGTAGTATGAAATCAATCTTATAGATAATATTTTTACTATTATTATTATTATTATCATCATAATCATTATCATCATTATTATTATTATTATTGTTATTATTATCAGTAGTATTAGTAATGTTGGTGCTGTTGTTATTGTTGTTCTTGTAGTTTTTTGTTTAGAAAAAGTCCATATTGAATCTTTGCATTTAGCGTGTCATCTTAATCCTTTTTACACATTTTTGTGACATAATCATTCTTTTTGTTAGAGTGATCGTTCAAAGTAAAAGTGATCTCGATTGCAAATAATGATGATAATGATGAAAGTGATTACCGTGATACCGTTAAATGATGATAATGGTTCGAATATGAGTTGTAATGATGATTATGAAGGCTCTTGGGAAAGCAACAAGATTTAAATCTACAAACTACAATCAAACCCAACCCTCCTTGTCTGTGATTAAGACATGTACCTTAGACAGACGTTTCATTCCAACTGTTGTCCGTCTATATAACTCTTTCCCTGCCCATGTTGTAGGAAACATTTCAGAAAAGGACTTCAAGCTTTTAAAGAGAGTACAGAATACATGGTTACGTCCTTGATGTGACGATGTTATTTTTTGCTCTACTTCGTGTTGGTATTAGTTTGGTCCTTTGTATTGCCTGTTTTGTAATAATTTAGCCCTTCTGAGATGCAGTGAACCACTTGATTGGCCCACTAGAGCTCTCAGTGAAAGCACATTTCGTATAAATCATGTTGAGTGATGCTACTATTCCCGTTTTGCAACCGTATCTTGCAAGAAATCAATCCTGAAGCAAATGTCACTAGAGCGTGAGTAGATGCAGTGATATAAGGAATAAAAACTCAGAGTTCGGTGATTGTTGGTGCTGTCTTTGCCGCACTATGTAAGAGAGCATTGTGAAAGAAAGCAAAACGAGCAGTCCAAATATTGCCTTAAAAAAGGCACCGTCTACCTGACTTAGGATGGCGTCAGTGGTGTAGTTTGTCGTGCCATGTGAAAATGCCATGGCACAAAAAACTTATTGCGTTGAACAGAAATCCATGGCCAGGTAACACACACACACACACACACACGCACACTCACACACACAATCACAAACACAACCGGCCCCTACCAGTACCTTAGTAATTGGGCTACAGTTTTGTAATTATTTCTATTTTCCACTCTAAACAGAAGAAACAAATTATTCATAATTCTCCACATATTTTTTTCCACAAATAAAAATACAATATATTCTCCTACAATGCAAACAAAATATGAACACAAGAATCATGTGAACAAAATTATTGTTTGATTTTAGAAATGAAATCATAGCAATATGGAGATTACTATAGGCTTCTTCTGAGAGGAAACAAAACAGTTTATTTCAACAAAAATCAAAAAGAAGGGGGGAAGAAGGAAAACAGGTTGAAGCTCTAGAATCTAAGGAATGAAAGGAATTCTTTTTCCC